AGCACTTTGGGAGGCTGAAGTGGGTGGATCACCTGAGGTCAAGAGTTCAAGACCAGCCTGGCCATCATGGTGAAACCCCATCTTTAAAAAATTAAAAAAAAAAAAAAGACAGTATCTTCACTTTTAGAAAGGACCAGAAGTGAATTCTGTAGACTTTAGACTGGTGAGCTAAATGTTAAGCCTAGAAAAATGTGTTAGTAAGCTGTTAAATTAATATTTTGGGAAACCTTAGAAAAGAAAATGCTTTAGGGACCAGCTTCCTTCATAAAAGCACAAGGTATGTCCATCCTAATTTGATTTATGAAATAATTACTCATGTATTATTATGTTATAGACAGAATATGTATAATTTTCAGACAATGAAAAAACTTTTTTTTTTAAAGTAGAGAAATGTGAGCTGCTTGTGATTGATTCATAACTAATTTAGCAATTGTACCATGAGATTACTGATTTATGAGGTGAAGTAATCAGGAAACTACCTCTAGTGGCTGCTACAGGGCTTTGTCCTGTCTCAGGCCTGCTGCAAATATATGTGTGTGTGTATAATTAATTTCTATAAATATAAATTTTTAAGAATTTAAAGTGGGTATATTTTTAACAGTTCTATTAACATATAATTTACATACTATAAAATTTACTCAGGCTAGGTGGGGTGGCTCATGCCTATCATCCCAGCACTTTGGGAGGTTGAGGCAGGAGGCTTACCTGAGCACTTGAACCCAGAAGTTCAAGACTAGCCTGGGCAAGATAAGGAGACTGTTTTACAAAAAATTAATAAATCAGCTGGGCAGGGTGGTGTGTGCCTGCATTCCCAACTACTCAGAAGGCTGAGGCAGGAGGGTCACATGAGCACAGGAAGTTGAGGCTGCAGTGAGCTGTGATCACACCACTGTACTCCAGCCTGGGCAACAGAATGAGACATGAGACATTGTCTCAAACAAAACAAAACAAAACAAAACAAAACAAAAAATCCCTAAGTTTACCCATTTAAAGTAGTTTTTTTTTTAAGCATATTTACAGAGCAGTAAGTCATCATAATCTAATTTTAGAACAGAAAATAAGTTCGTTTTATATATTGTGTGGTGAATTTGCTTTTTTTTGCTTAGGATACATTTGGGTATCTGTTTATGTCTGTACACTGTATAACAGGCGTCCCCAAACTTTTTACACAGGGGACCAGTTCACTGTCCCTCAGACCGTTGGAGGGCTGCCACATACTGTGCTCCTCTCATTGACCACCAATGAAAGAGGTGCCCCTTCCTGAAGTGCAGCGGGGGGCCGGATAAATGGCCTCAGGGGGCCGCATGCAGCCCGTGGGCCATAGTTTGGGGACGCCTGGTATAGAACATCATTCTTTTTGACTTAGATGTATATTATATAAATGTACTATGAATTACTTGAACAATCTTCCACTGATAAACATCTAGACTGGTTTCAACTTTTGCTGTTACAAATGATGTTGCCAAACAGACAGATGTATGTTACTGTTTTAATATAATTCTTTTTGTACCTTTAAAATAAATAAATAAATAAATAAATGATGTTGCAGGGAGCAGCCTACATCTTCACATACTTGAGTAATGTATATTCCTTTACTTGTGTTGCATTGTTCCTCTTAATTCTAGTTCAATTTATAAAGCAGATGTCGATAACCACTTTATGTCTCAGGAGTCAGTTTCAGAGAATTAAATGGCGAAGTCCACATTGCTACTAATTTAACAGAAGAAGTTGTTCTTTTTTGTTGTTGTTTTGTTGTTGTTTTAATGTAGACATGGTCTCCCTATGTTCCTCAGGGTGGTATCAAACTCCTGAGATCAAGCAGTCTTCCCTCCTTGGCCCCACAAAGTGCTGTGCTTATAGGCCTGAGCCACCATCCCCAGCCCCTGAACAAGTACTTCGATCTCATTTTTTGTTGTTTTTTTCATTATAAGTGCTGTGGTTTTGTAGTACTCACAGGATTTTGACAAATCAGAATGTATCCAGAAGAGCATGACTAGAATTAGGGAGCAGTAAAAGGAACCAGGGATGTTTAAGAGAGACATATTTATTTTATTTGTTCAACCTGTATATTTATTAAGCACCCACTATGTGCCACATCCTGTTATAGATGGTGGATGGACAGCAGTTACAAGACACACAAGGTCCTCTTCTTTCATGATGCTTTTGTTTCAGTGAGGGGAAACGGACAGGTTTCTTGATCTTACCTGTTTACTTTAACAATAAACAGGTAAGATCATTTTAGATAGTGACAAGTACTGTCAAGAAAATAAAACAGGATAATTAAGTGACCAAGGAAAACTCATTTAGGAGGTAACAGTGCTGATACCTAAATGACAGAAAGGCAATGTTTATATGTCTATCTGTAGATATCTTTATGTAACATGAATGGTAATTACATTTAATTAGATTAGAAATAGACTTCCTATAAATGATAATAAAAGTTTCAAATCCCAGCAGTACTACTTACACAATATTTTACCCAAACTCTCTGAACTTCAGTTTTTATGTCTGCAAAGTAGAGATAACAAACCTAGCTCACAGAACTTTTTGGATGGCTGGATAGAGGGTTAGACAAAAGCATCTAGCACTGGCCCATAGCAGGCCCTCATTAGGCACTGAGTGAGATTTCATAATGCTAATACAAAGAAAATATTTCTAACAATTATTGCAGAACACAAATTGAATGACTTTCATGTGTTAGTGATTTTCCTATCAGTGGGGGACATGTAAGTAGCCTTTATTTTTTTGGGTTTTTTTTTTTTTTTTTTTTTTGAGGCAGGGTGTGTTTCTGTTGCCCCTGCTAGAGCACAGTGGCGCAATCACAGCTCACTACAACTTTGATCTGGGATCAAGTGATCCTCCTGCCTCAACCTCTTAAGTAGCTGTAACTGCAAGTGTGCACCACCATGCTTGGTTAATTTTTAAATTTTTCATAGAGATGAGGTTTCACTGTGTTGCACAGACTAGTCTCAAACTTCTGGGCTCAAGCCATATGCTTCCCTTGACCTCCAAAGTATTGGGAGTACAGGCGTGAGCCACTGGTACCTAGCTTCGTAGCCAGAAGATGACTGTTCTTGAATAGAAGACAGTCATGCATTAACTGAGGGATAAGACAAGTTGACCTGAGAGCCTTTCCCTGTCCCATTGCTGATAAGCTTTCTGTCTTTAGAGCCTATTTTAGTTCATTTTCTCACTGCTATAAAGAAATAACTTTAGAATAGGTAATTTATAAAGAAAAGATATTTAACTGGCTCATGGTTCTGCAGGCTATACCGAAAGCATGATACTGGTATCTGCTCAGCTTCTGGGGAGACCTCCAGAAACTTGAAATTATTGCAGAATGCCGGGCGCGGTGGCTCAAGCCTGTAATCCCAGCACTTTGGGAGGCCGAGGCGGGTAGATCACGAAGTCGAGAGATCGAGACCATCCTGGTCAACATGGTGAAACCCCGTCTCTACTAAAAATACAAAAAATTAGCTGGGCATGGTGGCACGTGCCTGCAATCCCAGCTACTCAGGAGGCTGAGGCAGGAGAATTGCCTGAACCCAGGAGGCGGAGGTTGTGGTGAGCCAAGATCGCGCCATTGCACTCCAGCCTGGGTAACAAGAGCGAAACTCCATCTCAAAAAAAAAAAAAAAAGAAAAGAAAAAAAAGAAATTATTGCAGAAGACAAAGTGGGAGCAAGGGGTTTCACATAGCAGGAGCAAGAGACAGTGAGGGGGGAGTTGCTGCAGACTTTTAAACAACCACATCTCATGAGAACTTAATCACAGTGGTGAGGATAATACCAAGGAGATGGTGCTAAGCCATTCAAGAGATCTGCAAGATCCAACCACCTTCAACATTCTCAGCAAACTGACACAAGAGCAGAAAATCAAACACCGTATATTCTCACTCATAGGTGGGTGTTGAACAATGAGAACAAACGGACACAGGGAGGAGAGCACTACACACTGGGGTCTGTTGGGGGGAAATGAGGGAGGGGCGGGGGGGTGGGGGGGTGGGAAGAGATAGCATGGGGAGTAATGACAGATACAGGTGAGGGGACGGAAGGCAGCAAACCACACTGCTATGTGTGTACCTATGCAACAATCTTGCATGTTCATCACATGTACCCCAAAACCTAAAATGCAATAAAAAAAAAAAAAAAAACGTTGGAGACTACAGTTCGACATGAGATTTGGTGGGGACACAGAACCATATCGGAGTCCTAGTTCACAGCTTGGGAAATACACTCAGGCATGTTTTTGAAGCCTAAAGGGGCCTTCTGGAATAGTGGTTTAAAAATCTTTTTAAAGCAGTGGCACAAGCCTGAAATCCCAGTACTTTGGGAGGCCAAAGCAGGTGGATCACTTGAGGCCAGGAGTTTGAGATCAGCTTCACCAACATAGTAAAACCCCATCTCTACTAAAAAATAAAAAAAATTAGCTGAGTATGATGGCACATGCCTGTAATCACAACTACTTGGGATGCTGAGGCATGAAAATCACTTGAATCTGAGAGGCAGAGGTTGCAGTGAGCCAAGGTTGCACCTCTGTACTCCTGTACTCCAGCCTGGGTGACAGAACAAGATTCTGTCTCAAAAAAAAAAAAAAAAAAAAAATTAAAGCAACAGTACCCTTCTAAAGAAATATTGAACTCTGATCTGTAAAATTTAAAATTCGATCCACTAGGTAAAGTTGGTAATGAGAGGTTACCTATTTTATTGTTTACTTAATATCTCTTGCATTTTATATATGCTTTATATGCTTACTAAAGAACTCTTTTTTTTTTTTTTTTTTTTTTTTAATTTTTACAGCTGCTACTTGGGGTATATCTATGTTATAGGCTAGGAAGTAGGCATGGAGAGATAAGTAACTTGTCCTGATCCCGGAGTAATCCTTAATGGAGTCAGAACTATAACCTGAATCTCTTAACCCCTGTATCAATGGACTTTTCCTCTAATATGCTTTATTAATCACTTTATAGCTTTCCTTTCTTTCTTTCTTTTATAGAGTTAATTATTTATATTGTAAAGAATTTTAATAGTCCTGGGGACTTCCTTGAAAGATCATTTTCACTTTTGCTCAGAAGAAAGCTCTGGATCTATCAAATAAAGAAGTCTTTCGTGTGGGCTACATATATAGATGTTTTCATGAAGAGGAGTGAAAAGCCAGAAGGATATAGACAAATGAGGCCTAAGACCTTTCCTGCCAGTAACTATACTGGCAGTAGCCGGCAAATGTTACAAGAAATTCGGGAATCCCTTAGGAATTTATCTAAACCATCAGATGCTGCTAAGGCTGAGCATAACATGAGTAAAATGTCAACTGAAGATCCTCGACAAGTCCGAAATCCACCCAAATTTGGGACACATCATAAAGCCTTGCAGGAAATTCGAAATTCTCTGCTTCCATTTGCAAATGAAACAAATTCTCGTAGTACTTCAGAAGTTAATCCACAAATGCTTCAAGACTTACAAGCTGCTGGATTTGATGAGGTAAGAACTTTTAAAGACAATGGATTCTTCTTACCTTATGCTACATAACATTTTTGGGGTGAAAACATGCCAAAATGTTTTCTTTAAGAGAATTTAACCGTGTATACAAATTTACATATTCTATCAGCAAAGAATGTTATGTTTATAATTCCATTAATTATTATAACAAAATAATTGTTATTTCCTTAGTTTCTTCTGTGATATGTATCACTAAATTCTGGAGTTTCTGGAATTTAAAAGGCCAGGTCATGAAGTCAGAATGGAAGTGCAGTTGAAGAAAGCCACAGGTGAGGGTAGGGGAAAGACATCTGTTTGTGTGAAATACAATGATGAACTAAGTGTCTGTTGGGGAAATGATAGTTCCAAGAATATGAAATTTAACTTCATAGTAGAGAGAAAGAATTGTAGTTATGGGTTTGTGTAAGCAGTTGTGTTCTCTGGCCCAAATCTTAAATTTACAAAAACTAAGAAAATTTCACTTCAGGCTAACTATACCAAGTCTTTAGTATTTATCTTCAGAATTCATTTTGAAATTTTTTCATAATCCATATATTGAATGATTTTGTTTAGATTATCAATGAAATTTGTTTCTTACGATAACATACCTTGTGAGCATGAATATTTTAGATGTCAGGAGCCATTTTAGATAAATATTGGCAATGTAAAATATAATTAAATGTGAATAATCAAAAGTTAGGCCGGGCATAGTGACTCACACCTATAATCTCAGCCCTCTGGGAGGCTGAGGAGGGCAGATCACCTGAGGTCAGAAGTTTGAGACCACTCTGACCAACATGGTGAAACCCTGTCTCTACTAAAAATACAAAATTTCCCGGACATGGTGGTGCGTGCCTGTAATCCTACCTACTTGAGAGGCTAAGGCAGGAGAATCACTCTGCCTCCAAGAGGCAGAGGTTGCAGTGAGCTGAGATCACACCATTGCACTTCAGCCTGGGCGACAAGAGGGACACTCCATCTCAAAAAAAGGGTTAATTACATTTTTCACAATTAAAGTAACATGTTTTCCTGATTGCAAAAAATATTACCTATTCTCTCAACAATTTAAAAGTATACAGAAGAAACTGAAAATTACATTTAACTTCACTGTATAAAGATAACTACCCTTAAAATTCCTTCACCGTTTTTGTTTTTTGTTTTTTGTTTTTTGTTTTTTTGAGACAGAGTTTCGCTCTTGTTACCTTACCCGGGCTGGAGTGCAGTGGCACGATCACAGCTCACCGCAACCTCCGCCTCCTGGGTTCAAGCAATTCTGCCTCAGCCTCCTGAGTAGCTGGGATTACAGGCACGTGCCACCATGCCCAGTTAATGTTTTGTATTTTTAGTAGAGACGGGGTTTCACCATGTTGACCAGGATGGTCTCGATCTCTTGACCTCATGATCCACCCGCCTCGGCCTCCCAAAGTGCTGGGATTACAGGCATGAGCCGCTGTGCCCGGCCTCCTTCACTGTTTTTTTGTGGGGATTTTGTGTGTGTGTGTGTGAGACCAAATTTCCATATATATCTGTATTTAATTTAAAAAGTGAGAACCAGGCTGGGCGTGGTGGCTCAAACCTGTAATCCCAGCACTTTGGGAGGCCGAGGCGGGTGGATCACGAGGTCAAGAGATCGAGACCATCCTGGTCAACATGGTGAAACCCCGTCTCTACTAAAAATACAAAAAATTAGCTGGGCATGGTGGTGCGTGCCTGTAATCCCAGCTACTCAGGAGGCTGAGGCAGGAGAATTGCCTGAACCCAGGAGGCGGAGGTTGTGGTGAGCCGAGATCGTACCATTGCACTCCAGCCTGGGTAACAAGAGCAAAACTCCGTCTCAAAAAAAAAAAAAAAAAGTGAGAACCTGAGCAGGCACACCTGTAATCCCAGCACTTTGAGAGGCCAAGGTGGGCGGATCACGAGGTCAAGAGATCGAGACCATCCTGGCCAACATGGTGAAACCCCATCTCTACTAAAAATACAAAAATTAGCTGGGCGTGGTAGCACGCACCTGTGGTCTCATCAACTTGGGAGGCTGAGGCGGAAGAATCACTTGAACCCAGGAGGTGGAGGTTGCAGTGAGCCGAGATTGTGCCACTGTACTCCAGCCTGGCAACAGAGCAAGACTCTGTCTCAAAAAAAAAAAGAAAAAAAGTAAGAACCAAAGTATGCATTATAGCAAAAGATTTAAAAAGGGAGATCGACAACTACACTGTAAGGAAAAAAAAATTATTTCTGGCACATTCTATTTACCTATTTGATTAATATTATTTTCTATCATTTTTATGCTTAAGTATTCTAAAAATACTGGATTTAAACCGGAAATAGAGGAAGAGGAGGGAAAGACATAGGATGTTTTTCTGGTTAGTATTTAGAGGATTAAAGAAATGGCTTGAGTGAAGATTGTCCCAAGCACTTTCTTCCTAATCCCTTAGCCAAAAGGCAAAGAATAATTATTGATCTTATTTTTTCCTTTACATTTGCTAAGCAAAGAGAAGTTATGAAATCACATAGCTATAAAAGCCCCTAGTGGTAATGTGTTATGTCAGTTAAGTCACCCAGTAGCATGTACTTAGGGAGCTCTTATGTGTGCACCTCATCCAACAGTCAGGATAGCAAGTTGTACCAGATGTGGCCCATACCTTTAAGGTAATTAAAAGTTTTCTTTTCTTTTTTTTTCTTTTTGAGACAGAGTCTCACTCTGTCACCCAGGCTGAAGTGCAGTGGCATGATCTTGGCTAACTGTAACCTCTACCTCCCAGCTTCAAGCGATTCTTCTGCCTCAGCCTTCCGAGTAGCTGGGACTACAGGTGTGCACCACCATGCCCAGCTAATTTTTGTATTTTTAGTAGAGATGGGGTTTCACCATGTTGGCCAGGATAGCCTCGATCTCTTGACCTCGTGATCCACCTGCCTCGACCTCCCGAAGTGCTGGGATTAGAGGCGTGAGACACCATGCCTGGCGTAAAAGTTCTTTCTAATAAAGACAGTTTTAAGAATTCTAAGGCATTGGTCGATGCTCTCGTCCTTATTGGTAATAATAACAATAATTGGTTTGTATTGCAAAGATATTCTTATGCTTTTTTTTTATTAAATTTCTACTACACAAATAATATGTTAGCTTTATTATAATTACACATTTCAAATTGTCACGAGATTGCTTTATGAAAGTGTTTAGACATTTATCATTCCTCATTTGTCCAAATAATGAAGTATGGTGTTATTTATACCAATGGTGATATAAAGAATCTGGCAGTCTACTCGTACTTCCTTGAATCACTCATTCTGGTAGCATCCCATGATATTGTAGAGTTTATCTTGTTCAAGATCGTAACTTGGTATTTCAGAATTGTTATCTAGTTTTCACTTCATTCTTTTTTATCATTTCAGAAACCCTAACCTACTCCTTTTAATTAGCTATGCCAAGTTCAAGATAGTGCCTTTATTTTTTTTTTGATAATATGTTTCTGATGACCCTGTAAAATTAAAAACTCAAATATTTCAAGATTAATTTTCTAATAGGAATAAATGTTAAATAGGATTGATGCATTCTTGGAGCACATAATACAATCACTGGGGTATATTTTTGCTTATAAGCATGAAAACCAAAAGCATAATTATGTGGACATATTTTCTTATCACATAAGACTTCTGGCCAGGCGCAGTGGCTCACGTCTGTATCCCAGCACTTTGAAAGTTCAAAGCAGGTGGATCACTTGAGGCCAGGTGTTCAAGACCAGCCTGAGCAACATGGTGAAATTTGTACAAAAAAGTACAAAAAATATTTGTATAAAAAATACAAAAAAAAAAAAAATTAGCCAGGCCTGGTGGCACATGTGTGTAGTCCTAGCTACTTGGGTGGCTGAGGTAGGATAATTGCTTGAACCTGGAAGGCAGAGGTTGCAATGAGCTGAGATCACGCCACTGCACTCTGGCCTGGGCAATAGAGCGAGACTCTGTCTCAAAAAAAAAAAAAAAAGACTTCTAGCTGGGTGTGATGGCTCACGCTTGTAATTCCAGTGCTCTGGGATGCCAAGGCAGGAGGATTGCTTGAGCCCAGGAGTTCAAGTCCAGCCTAGGAAACATAGTGAGACCCTGTTCCTACAAAAAAAAAAAAACTTTTAATCAGCCAGGTGTGGTGGCATATGCTGGTAGTACCCAGCTACTCAGGAGGCTGAGGTGGGTGGATCACTCAAACCCAGGAGATGAAGGCTGCAGTGAGTTATGGTTGTACCACTGCACGCCAGCCTGGGCAACAGAGCAAGACCCTGTCTCTAACGGAAGAAAAAAAAAAAAAAAACTACCATTCCAAAGTTATTGATTTGAACATGCTCTTTTTCACACTGGCACTAACACCTCAACTTGATGAAAGCTTGATTGATGTTTTTACAGATGTAAAAAATAGTTTAAAACATAGCAATAAATATTCAAACATAAAGGTTAGCATAGTAATCACCAAAATCACAAGGCTGAAATTCCAGTGCATTTAACAAGAATATGGGCCAGGTGCAGTGGCTCACACCTGTAATCCCAGCACTTCAGGAGGCCGAAGTGGGCGGATCACTTGAGGTTAGGAGTTTAAGACCAACCTGACTAAGAAGACAAAACCTTTTACATATCTAATTTAAAAGTATGTAAATTAGCCAGGCATGGTAGCGGGTGCCTGTAATTCCAGCTTCTCAGGAGGCTGAGGTAAGAGAACCACTTGAACCCAAGAGGCAGAGATTGCAGTGAGCTGAGATCATGCCACTGCACCCCAGCCCGGGCAACATGGAGGCTCTGTCTCAAAAAGAAAAAAAAGAAAAATGATTCCTACAATATTGGTAAAGGGTAATGGGTGCTAATTTTCTTACCAACTGAGGTGTTACTGCTGTGTAATAATAGCAGAAATACATATACAGTTCACTTGACCAGTTTTAAAATTAAACACTCATTGGTGAATTTTAACTTGGCTAATTTTTATTATTTTACATGTGCACATATTTGATTTTAAGAAAAACCCAAATAATGCTTTAAGCAAGATAGTGATTCAGTTTATATAATTATCATTAGCTCAGTGTCTTAAAGATTTCAGAGCTTAGGATTCTTATGAGTCCTTTGAATTTTACTTCTTGGTGGCAACATGCTGTAGCACAGGTATCATATCTGTTGCCTAGGAAGCAGGATCTAGGAAGGACCTGTATCTGGATCAGGCAGGCATGGCAAAAGTTTTATGGCAACCGTTGCTTCTTCCAACAAAATCAGTAACTTTTTCCAAGAAAGGGAGAAGGGACCTTAGGTAAGCAATAAGTTCTTACCACATCCTTTCTTTGGTTGTTCTCACATTCTTCTCTAATCATTTCACATAGGAGGATCATCTGTCAGTAGCCTGTTCACTCAACAGTCTTACTAAGTCATTTCTCGTTTAAAAATGTCATTTGAAATACTGAATCTTCTAGGACAAGTAAGTAGTTGCCTCCCTCTTGAAAAATGCATGTCAGCATACTTTCTGCATGATAGTGAATGATTTATGTTTACATAAAACACAAAGTTCAAGGAGTGGAAGAGAGTAGCCAACATTTTAGCTCCAGGCACTGTGGTTGGTGCTTTACATGTTTTCTTACTTAATCCTCACATCAACTCTGTGAGCCTATTACAGGCAAAGAAACTGAGCCTCTGAAATGTGAAATAACTTGCCAAGTGTCACACTACTTTACAGAGCTGCTAGAACTCAAACCCACATCTGTCTGATTCCAAATCCTGTTATTTTGATCATATTATATAATGTCCTAAAGTCTTCATCACATAATCATATACAGGCTAAGTATCTTCTTTTGTCTTATGTTTGCATCCCTGTAATATAGTTCTCTGAAAACGTAATCTCTAAGAGGGTAAGAACCAGAACTACTATATACAATGGCAATATGCTTAATAAAATACTTCAATGATACAAAAAAGTTGGTTTTTTTTGAGATGGAGTTTCACTCTTGTCAGGCTGAAATGCAGTGACATGATCTCGACTCACTGCAACCACCACCTCCCGGGTTCTCCTCCCTCAGCCTCCCAGATAGCTGGGATTATAGACATGCACCACCATGCTCGGCTAATTTTGTATTTTTAGTAGAGCCTGGGTTTCACCATGTTGATCAGGCTGGTCTTGAACTACTGACTTCAGGTGATCCATCTGCCTCAGCCCCCCAAAGTGCTGGGATTACAGGTGTGAGCCACGACGCCCAGCCCAAACAAGTAGTTTCTGATATTTTGATTGCTACCTTTTTAACAATCTGATTGTCTGTGATTGTTATATAAGAATTAGAAATTATCAGAATCATGTTGCTATGATTGTACCCAAAAAAATTAATCCTAATTCAAGCCAACAATGGTGTGTTGAAAAAAATAAAAATTTAAGAAATTTAAACTTTTTCATCCTAGGAGGAAATAGAAATATGTTACATAAAGGTGAAAATGCTAAAGAAACATTTGAAGACAAAAGAAAGAAACATTTGGAAGATTTGAGGATTTTGTTTTGTTTTCTTTTTTTTTTTTTTTTTTTTTTTTTTTTCAGGACAGCATCTCTCTCTGTTGCCCAGACTGGAGTGCAGTGGTAACCTCCACTTCCTGGGTTCAAACAATTCTCATGTCTAACCTACTGAGTAGCTGGAATTACAAGCATGCGCCCACATGCCTGGCTAATTTTTAATTTTTTTGCAGAGATTGGGTTTCACCATGTCGGCCAGGCTTGTCTCAAACTCCTGGTCTTAAGTGATCTGCCCACCTCGGCTACCCAAAGTGCTGGGATGACGCAGTGCTTGAGCCACTGTGCCTGGCCTGTTTAAGTTGAGATTTTGTGTGAGGTTTTTAGTAGCTACAAACGAAACATTAATATTATGGTTTGGGGTCCTGTTCTTCGTAATTGTGGATTTCTGTAGTGGAACTCATAGTGTTCTTTCCCTTGTGTTACTTAAAGTAAGATTTTAATTTTGTTTCTTTTTTTTAAACTTCATATTAGGATATGGTTATACAAGCTCTTCAGAAAACAAACAACAGAAGTATAGAAGCAGCAATTGAATTCATTAGTAAAATGAGTTACCAAGATCCACGACGAGAGCAGATGGCTGCGGCAGCTGCCAGACCTGTTAATGCCAGCATGAAACCAGGTGATTAATCAAATATTTTATTTTCTCATCTCTTCTTATACTGTATAGTTTAAAAATATGGAAGTCTATCAAATCTTTGTTCTTATAAATAAGGAAAGCATCCCAGTAAATGAAAATCTCAAATTAAGATAACGTTATAATGTTACACTAAAATGAATTTAAGGATTTGGGGCCCTCACGTTTAAAAGTTAATAGGTAATTCAGATAAGCAGCAGTCTTAATTGAGATTTATTTGATTGGTAATACTGCAACTCAAATACATCTGTTTTCTCTCCAAATCCCATCATTCAGACTACTCTTTTTTCTTTTTTCTACATTTTTTTTCATATTATGAGAGTAAAATACTATCAATGTAGAATATTTAGAAAACAAAATGTCACTGTTAATAACAATATTTTGGTATATTTTGTTTCCCAGTCTTTTCTCCTGTGGGAAACTGGAACCAGTTTATCTGGGTATATTTTAATTCTTACCGCTTAAGCAAAAAATGGGATCATACTAAAACCTGCTTTTTTCACTTAAATATACCATGTATAAATTTACTTATTAAATTTTCTACAGAATAATTTTAATAGCCACATTAAAATAGACTTATTTGCTGAGTACAGGGGTTCATATCTGTAATCCCAATACTGTGGGAGACCTTGAGGCAGGAGAATCGCTTGAGCTCAGGTGATCCTGCCACTATACTCCAGCCTAGGCAACAGCTAGACCCTGTCTCAGAAAAAAGAAAAAAAGATGTATCATATACTTTAATCTCCCATTTTTGGATTCCTTTTTTATTTACCATTATAGACAGCACTGCAGTAATTATTCTTACAGCTAAATCTTTGTACATACTTAATGATTTCTTAAAAGTAAGTTTTAGAGCCGGGCGCGGTGGCTCAAGCCTGTAATCCCAGCACTTTGGGAGGCTGAGGCGGGTGGATCACGAGGTCAAGAGATCGAGACCATCCAGGTCAACATGGTGAAACCCCGTCTCTACTAAAAATACAAAAAATTAGCTGGGCATGGTGGCACATGCCTGTAATCCCAGCTACTCAGGAGGCTGAGGCAGGAGAATTGCCTGAAGCCAGGAGGCGGAGGTTGCGGTGAGCCGAGATCGCGCCATTGCACTCCAGCCTGGGTAACAAGAGCGAAACTCCGTCTCAAAAAAAAAGAAAAAGAAAAAAAAAGTAAGTTTTAGAAAACTTAAAAAACGTTAAGGCTTTTCATAGATACTGCTGTCTAGAAAGGTAGTACCAATTTATAATTTTTTTATTTTTTATTTTTTTGAGATGGAGTTTCACTCTGTTGCCCAGGCTGGAGTACAGTGGCACCGTCTCACCTCACTGCAACCTCCACATCCCAGGTTCAAGCAGTTCTCCTGCCTCAGCCCCCCAAGTAGCTGAGATTACAGGCATGAGCGACCAGTCCTGGCTAATTTTTGTATTTTTAGTAGAGACAGGGTTTCACATGTTGGCCAGGCTGGTCTTGAAGTCCTGACCTCAAGTAATCCGACCACCTCAGCCTCCCAAAGTGCTGGGATTACAAGCGTGAGCCACCACGCCCGGCCAGTAGTACCAATTTATATTCTCCCTATCAGTTTACTGTGAGAATGTCTGTGTTTGTAAAGCCTGGTTATTATTTTTGTCTCTTTAATGGTTATGGAAACACCATCTTATTTTACATTTGCATTTCTTTGATCACTGCATTTGTTTATTGCTTATTTTCTTAATTGCCACTTTACCTCTTTTAATTTTGTCTTTGCCTTTTTTTTTTCTTGAGACAGAATCTCGCTCTGTCACCCAGGCTGAAGTGCAGTGGCTCGATCTCGACTCACTGCAACCTCTGCCTCTCAGGTTCAAGCGATTCTCTTGCCTCAGTCTCCCAGTAGCCAGGACTACAGGCACACACCGCCACACCCGGCTAATTGTTTGTATTTTTAGTAGAGATGGGGTTTCACCGTGTTGGCCAGGATGGTCTGATCTCCTGACCTTGTGATCTGACCACCTGAGCCACCTAAAGTGCTGGGATTACAGGCGTGAGCCACCACACCCAGCCATAAATCAATTCTTAAAAGACAAAGACAGGCTTGGCACAGTGGCTCATGCCTGTAATTAATTCCAGCACTTTGGGAGGCTGAAGTGGGCAGATCACGAGGTCAGGATTTCGATTCCAGCCTGACCAACATGGTGAAACCCCATCTCTACTAAAAATACAAAAATTAGCCAGGCGTGGTGGCATACACCTGTAGTCACAGCTTCTCGGGAGGCTGAGATAGGAGAATCGCTTGAACCCAGGAGGCAGAGGTTACAGTGAGCCCAGATTATGCTACTGCACTCCAACCTGGGTGACAGAGCAAGACTCTGTCTCAAAAAAAAAAATTGTAAGAGGACTGTAGTCATTCTTCTTATTCAGTAGATTTTTATTGGTCAGCCACTGTTTCAGGCTCTTTGCTCTGCATTGGGTAAGTTCTTGCCCTTTTGTGGAGCTTACATTCTGTTAAGGGAGATCAGATAATCACACAGATATGTATAGAATTACAGCTATATATAGTGTGAATGAAGAGAGGAAAGTTACGTGGTACTGTAGACTCATATAATAGTGGATATTTTTCTGTTTTGTTTTGTTTTGTTTTTTTACCTAATCAAGAAGATCAGAAAAATCCTTCCTCATAATCTGATAATAAAGCTCGTATCTGAAGGAGTACAGAGTTAATGGGAATGGGTTTAGTGAGTGTGAGTGTCCTTGTGCTTGGCTGCTTTGGCAGATTTTAATGCCACACCAAAAAAAAAAAAAAAAAAAAAAAATGAAAATGCTTGGAGCACTGAAAACAGGATTGTGAAATGTAGGACTGGAGAAGTCCATAGGGGCCTGACTCTGTAGAACTGTTTATTAATTTTATCCTAAGAGCAGCGGAAAGGTGTAGAAGTGTTTCAAGCAGGGTGACATGATTAGATTTGTATTTCAGAAAGATGGCTGCAGTGGATGAGAATGCATTAGGAGCAAGGACAGATAAGAAGGCAGGTGTGTGTGATAGGAGACATAGTTTGTGAGGGTAATTTGGACTTGGGTAATAGCAGTGAAGAAAATGAATGAATTAAGAGGAATGGGAGCGTTAAAATTGACAAGGACTTGGTAATAGATTACATGCAGGGTATGACGATAGAAGGGGATAACTCTTAGGTTTTTGGCTTAGAAAAATAGATGGATAATAATACCCTACATTAAGAAAGGAAATGTTAAGAGAGAATAGAATTGGGTGGGAAAGATCATAAATCTGGCTTTAGTTTTCCAAGTGGAGACATCAGGTAAGGAGCTGGATATGTATGTATGAGCCATAATATGAAATAGGTCACCTAAGGGATATTACATAAATCAAAATAATAAGATGACCTGCAACCAAGCTTATTTAATAGCTAGTAGGAAGGGATAAACCTGCAAAGGGGACAGAGAAGAAATAGCTAAGGCCAGTGGCTTGTTGCCTATAATCCCAGCTCTTCAGGAGGTCTAGGCAGGAGGATCACAAAGTCAGGGGTTCGAGAGCAGCCTGGCCAACATGGTGAAACCCCATCTCTAAAAAAATTAGCTGGGCATGGTGGCGTATGCCTGTAATTCCAGTTACTCGGGAGGCTGAGGCAGCAGAGTCACTTGAACCCAGGAGGCGGAGTTGCAGTGAACTGAGACCTCACCATTGCACTCCAGCCTGAGCGGCAGAGCAAGACTCCGTCTTAAAAAAAAAAAAGAGGCCGGGTGCGGTGGCTTAAACCTGTAATCCCAGCACTTTGGGAGGCCGAGGCGGTTGGATCACGAGGTCAAAAGATCGAGACCATCCTGGTCAACATGGTGAAACCCCGTCTCTACTAAAAATACAAAAAATGAGCTGGGCATGGTGGCATGTGCCTGTAATCCCAGCTACTCAGGAGGCTGAGGCAGGAGAATTGCCTGAACCCAGGAGGCGGAGGTTGCGGTGAGCCGAGATCGCGCCATTGCAGTCCAGCCTGGGTAACAAGAGCGAAAACTCCGTCTCAAAAGAAAGAAAGAAAGAGCTAAAAGAGAAGGAAGAAAACCTTATTGGTTAATAAGGTTTTCAGTGTTTTGGAAGCCAAAGTAAGAGAATGTTTCAAGAAAGGGAGGGAATGGTCAAAATGCCAAATACTGCTAAGAAAGAGATATTGACCAAGCTGAGAACTAAAAAATAATCTTGTTGGCTTTAGGACGTGGTGTATTAGTTTACTAGGGCTGCCATAACAAAATTACACAGACTGGGTGGCTTAAACAATTGAGATTTATTTTCTTTCTTTTTTTTTTTTTTTGAGACGGAGTTTCGCTCGTTACCCAGGCTGGAGTGCAATGGCGCGATCTCGGCTCACCGCAACCTCCGCCTCCTGGGTTCAGGCAATTCTCCTGCCTCAGCCTCCTGAGTAGCTGGGATTACAGGCACGTGCCACCATGCCCAGCTAATTTTTTGTATTTTTAGTAGAGACGGGGTTTCACCATGTTGACCAGGATGGTCTCGATCTCTCGACCTCGTGATCCACCCACCTCGGCCTCCCAAAGTGCTAGGATTACAGGCTTGAGCCACCGCGCCCGGCCGAGATTTATTTTCTTACAGTGCTGGAGACTAGAAGTCCAAGGTTACGTTACTGGCAGGTCTGGTTTCTGCTGAGGCTGCTCTCCTTGCCTTGCTGTGGCCTCATATGTGTGTCCCTCTGCATGTGCACGTGTCTGGGGTCTCTGTCTCCATGTCCAAATTTTCTCCTACAGGTATACAGGTCATATTGCATTAGGACCCACCCTAATGACCTAATTTAATCTTAATTACCAAATAGAGTCACATCTTGTGGTACTGCTGGTTAGGACTTCAGCATATAGATTGAGGATTCAGCCCATAACAAATTAGGTAACTTGTGTCATGGGAGCATAATTCAGACTGGAGTGGGTAGAGAACTAAATAGGATATGTAGTAGCAAAGAACACAAGGTATACCTTTAAGAGGTTTTTCTGTGAGGAGAGTG